AGGTAGGCATCGAAAAACGAAGGCTGATAATTGGTATCACATGTTACAGTACCTACAATGCCCTTTAACGGAATCTCATCTAACATAGTGTTATACAAGCAGGTACTTCGTAGCGGCGCGAAAAAACTCAGAGTCCGCGGTTATAAAGCTTTTATAGACGAAAATAGACACTTTTACCAAGTTAAAAGACTCTAATTCAGCTAATTAACTACACCACACAGAAATTATATCGTTGTTAAGGCTATAATTTTAAGTTAGAAATCTTCTCTCTAAATAGACACACCACTTAAACTTACCTACTATTCAACCTTTCGCTTTCTTAAATTCTCGGCCTTATTTTCCTTCCTAGGATTTGGGTTTACCGGGAGGCTAGGGAAGGCATTAAAGGCATTGAAATTGAAGCCTGCTGCTATAGTGGCGTCCATAGGGAGCAGAGGCGTATGAGGTAGGCCCGAACGGAGGTGCACGCAGTACTTTTCGTATATTTTTTAAATGGTTTTGGTTTAGCTGGTTAAAGAGATTTAGCAGTAGCCTCAGAATATATCGAGAGCGATTTGTTCCTCACCTGCAGTAGCACAGAGAGCCTTCAGTTTCTCACGTCGATTTTCGCGCTGCCGCCCTCTTCTTTTTCTTCTGTACTTGCTCCCACTATTATGCGCAAACGGCCCGCGCAAACATCAAACGCCTCTGTTGATATCTCTCTTGCGCCACCTCTTATACTATGATTTGAATCTTGTGCTCGAGAAATTGTTTGAGCAGTCCTTCGTCTTTGTCCAAAAGATCAATCTGTAATGGGCGCAGCCCAAAAGGGACCAAAAGGGCTTGAAATGAGTGTCAGAAAGTAGTGTGTATTGTACAGTGTAGTGTAAGAGAGAAGCTAGTATACCAGAGGTCACATGTCATAACACAATCGGGTATACCTAGACGAGCACTGTTGTTAATAAGGTATCCATCCATATAGAAATGATACTGGGCTCCACGAACTATTGTCATGTCCCAAATGAGCAGACTGAGTAGACCACCCCAGTAAGCCCTGACCCAACGTGCAGTCAAAGGAGGGTTGTGTGAAAATAACCCTGTTACCTCTTGACGTACATATTTTGCTTTCAAGTATCGGGGAAAGTTGTGCTTAGCAAACATATCAAAATATAGTATAATGCGACCCAATATACAACACACTATTATGCCTATGTACATATACACTGTTTCACGCTGCCGAGATATGCTGGAAGTGAATGAGAACGTAACATAGTTCTTCCTCATACCTGCGCTAAAGAGCACAAGGTACAATGAAAAACCAATTTTTATCGAATCGCGAAGCAACGTGGACAAACGCGAAGAGCATTGATTTGGGAACCAGCTCGCGTCATCAGACTGCAGTCCCATACACGGTAACACATAGAACACACATGACCGTGCGTATCATTGTGTTCCATGTCGTGCTCACATGTGAAGTCTGGGCTCAGTGAATCATATTGCAGTTTATAGGCCGCCACCTGCCCAGCATGCCATGCATTCAAGATGCCCGAATTTTGATACCATTCCTGAAGAATGGTTTCGAGGACGTACACAACCTGGCTGCGCGATCTTGTGTCTAATGTGATCGGTTGGATGTCTTTAATCTTGCCGTAATCCGTCATGCGGATTCGCTCGGATACTGACGTCCATATCGGTCGATCGTTATAGGGTCCTGGGAACCAGCTGCCACGCCCAGTGAGAGTGGTAACCTCAGCAATTTTGCGCTTTACAGCATTCGCTGAGCCAATGGCCCCAAAGAGTTGCCATATGGCACTCTTAAGCATATCAAAGCCTCTATTGTAACTGGCTCGATTTGCATCAGAATTTTTTTTTCTTGTCTGTGATCTCGAATGCCATGATTGTTGGCACAGCTGGAATGACCACAGTAGCAGATAATTCTGCCGGACAGAGGATAAAGATGTCTTCATGGGCATCTATGGCAATATTGCCCTCATTTAGCGCACCTGTTCCCATCGGAATCTTGTATGGAATTGTGCAGATATGTTCAGGAAATGTGTTGCGAGCGGCGGTGTAAACCACTGCAATCTTGCGATATGTCTCCATGAAGACATGGCGCTTCACTTGTGTACCACGACCTCTTGTGGGTCGAAACCATATAAGGAGGCTGCTTATAGGCATGCGATTCAGTAGCTGACATACTTTGTCGGCTACTTCATGCATTTCGGCCTTTCTGCCGTTAGGCGTGCATGTCTCCCAAATTTCAATATCGAGGGTTTGACGAGGCTTTTCGCTTTTATTACCCTTCTGTTTATCGATAAAAGTAGCCACTTGGAATACTTCATCTTTGGTGATAAACTTGATTTCTTTCGCTGGTGGGTTTTTAAACCCTGCGAAAACAAAGTTGCGATTATCGACGATTTGTTCGTCGAAAATATCTCGAAGATAAACGACCGGCCGCTCAATTGGCTCTGCCGGCATCCTCTTGTCTACCTTTTTTTAAGGCTTTTTCCCGCGATTTCATCCAACCAGCCAGATGTGACCCCTTTTCTGGTGTGAAATCCAAATCGTGAAGAGATGGGTGTAGGTCGCTTTGCGACCTATCTTTTGAACCAGCATTATGACTGGTGGTATCAATGCGTCCTGCTGGGAAGCTGGACTTTGATGAAGAGGGCAAAGATTCCATTTCGGTCCTCTTCCGCTTGCCCAAGGCTTTCTCCGAGGGAGTCGATTCACATGATGCTCCACTTGGGTTTACGGGTATCCGGGCCATCCTGTACTGATATTTGCCGTCGAAGAGTGATTTAATTCAACTAAAGAAGGGAGACGAACACTGTGGGATGGGCTGCATCTCAATTACGCCAAGGCTTATGCTTCATCTAGACGGCAGGAGCGATGGATGGCAGGAGTGAAGGACTCACCCACATCACATGTCGCCTCTGTGCTATGAGAGTGTAGAGAGACAATGAATCAATCAAAGGTGCAGTTCATTTGTGCAAGTTGTCATTTATATACCCCATCAATCTGGCACGACGGTGAAGTTTGACCCATCATTATCACTGAACGAGTTACTGGATGCATCTCCTATGCCAGGACGAATCAGATCAATTTCCATTATCTAGTTGTCTGCCGACGGTGTAATTCAAGAAGTACCAATGCAGTTTTCCCACCCTCTATTAACCTGCCCCTTTCCTGAACTACTCGTCCGCAGCTGATTTCCAGAGTGCCAAATTTGAAACTCAGATTTTCTTATGCAAGTTTACGCACCAATGCAGTTGGCCCCACCCCTTTTCTTGACCTGCCCCTTTGCGCAAACTCTTCACTGACGGCGTATTCCCTGAGCCCGGCCAAAAATAGGCTCTTCTTCTGGGGCCTGAGCATCAGCTTGACCGTCTCGGGCATGTATAGTGGTTACATCCACGTCGTGTGGTGATGGAATCTGCTCGTAGATCGGGAGCGTAGTGCTATTTATAGTTAGTATTAGTTACTACTTAGAATTCTATTACGGAAAGAGAAGAATAACGCACCTATATTTCTCAGCCATAATACGCATGTCGCGGTAGACCTGTGCATTATCTACAACTGGCTTCCCAAGGACTGCAGATATATCCCCGTAACGAGCAGAGAGGTACGTAGAGGCACATGCGGTAAGTAACATGTCTTGGATATATGGGATAAACCTCTCGTCAGCCATAACTCGAGGAATCTATATAAATAGGTTAGTTTATGAATATGCAAATGAAAGTATTAAAAAGTAACGTACGTCAACTGCTTGTTGCACAGGGCGAAGCATTTGCTTGATGATTGATCTATCACTGATATTGCGACCGAAGACCAGTCGACGCTCACCGGGATGAAGGTCCTTGAATAAAGGTGCACCGACCAGCTTGTTTCTATTATAGCTGTCGATTGTGGCGAAGGTAAACTCATGGATTGCCTTGGAGGCGAACATCTCCTTCTGGAGACGCTTTGCCATTTTCTGTAGACGCTCGTTGTGGAGGAGGGTCATCGCATTACGACCTTGGGTATTGGGATTGGCGAGGGCCTTCACGATCTCGAAATCAATACGAAGGTCGCGGAAGAATACCACTTTGAACATGCGGGCGAGAGCGTGTTTTTCGTTCCAGGGGAGGACAGCCAAAGGGTCCTCATCGCCTTGTGCGTACTCTTCACCTCGTGACATTGCTGCACCAAAGACACCGGTTTGTGCACCGGCCATTGGCTTGATGGCGGTTGGCTGGGAGGGGTTGGCGTACACCATCTGTGTAGGTGCGATATTGGTGAATACTGGGGCTGTGACCTGGGGTTTGGGGGGTGGAGTATCCCTATTCACAGTCAGTATAAGTATTAGTTGATACTTGGAATTCCATTTTAGGAGGGATACGCACCGATACTTGGCCGCCATGTCACGCATGTCTTTGTAGACTTGCGTGGTATCCACAACAGGCTTTCCGAGGAGTGCAGCCCCGATACCATAGTTTGAGGCGAGGTATGTTGATGCACAAGCTGTGATGCACAGGTCCCGGGTGAAATCCCTGTTAAGCCCGGAGTTTCTTTTTGCTGTTTTTATGTTTTAATCGAGTCTCATCTGCTTGTAGGAGTACAATATAAGCGCAAAGGTGACAGACGTGTATACACCCTAAATATGGATGAAAAAGAGGAAAAAAATACCGACATGAAGCTTGAATATGAGAATAGCAGGCATATGCACTGAACGCGAGATGTACAGTCTAGTTTTACGTTGGTTCGTAGATAGTAGATATATCATTTCACACAGTAACACCCAAAGCCTTCACTGAGTATTATAAGCACGTTATTCCCATTATTGCATTATCTGTTTGTCCCTAATTTAGTTGTTATGCTCTTTCCTGTTATTATTTGGTTCCATTTAGTTTTTCCCTTGTTGTTTGGCTCTGTTTTCGCTTGTGCTCCACAACATCGCCCCTTCACCACTAGAGCATAAAAATAAAGCTCTACACCACCACACAATGTCAGAAAAGCAAAAAAAAGCAAAAAGAAATGAAGGGCTTAACCGGGATTTGAACCCGGGACCTGCCACATTATAGACTCTAGGAGTCCAGGCTTGAAGAACCCGAAGCGGCAATCATACGACTAGACCATTAAGCCATTTTCCTCGCAGTGGGGAGTAATCATTTCTTGAATTGATGCGAAAATCTGAGATTAAGTAGTATATATTGCAATAAAAAATTGAACTTTATCGCCACCCCCTGAAGAGCTGACTATGACTTGGTGGACGGCCTAATTCTTTTACCGACGGACTAGGGATAATAAGCAACACGCCGATCCAACGGCGCCAAATTTTCACCGTGTTTGGATTATTTAGTTGCAATTTTAGTCTACACTGATGTTTTTTTCTATTGGCGGACGATGGCAAGTCTTGTGATTACGGTAATATTTCCGTGTAAGAAGTGATTTGAATCGTATGCGCGAATTAGGACTCTTGGTATTTTATGAGCAAGCTTCGGTGGAAACATCACAAAACATCTGCTACACTATTTACATTTGTAGGTATCTATCCACACTAACCATCTCTCGCGGAAGTCGAATACCGGGCTGGTCGCACCCCATTGCACAAAGCAACAGTAAACCACATAGAAATGGAGGTTTCTCTATACGTATATTGTCATGTCATGGGCTTTGAATATATAGATCTCGAAATCATTTTCCGCTATCAAGTTCCCCTATTTTCGACCTCTGTGATGGTGGGTGGCCGGCTATGGTTCCGACTATGTAGCACGCGCGGGATCCACCACAGACCCTTGGTAACAAACACCAACACAGCTACAACGTGAGATTCAACAGCAAGCCCTGTAAAATATCCAAACTACAGGGAAATAGCATTGCAGTATCCCGAACAGCTTTAACTTGTAGTTAATACTGTAATGCACTTGTTTTATGTCTCAGGCATGGTCTTGAATCCGTACCAATGTTTGTACAAGAAGGTCAAACAGGACTGTCCCACACGTACACGGTGATACATGTAATCGTCCAATCGCATAGATACAATGACCTCTTACATTTGAAGAGTACACCGTTCATTGACTTTTTATGTTGAGCTAGCAACATAGCCAATAATTGGCAACCAACAGAACCTCATGACGTCCGGGCTGTGTGCTCGTTCTTGCCAACTAGATAACGGTCTGCAGGATGAATGGAGCCTCTTGTTTAGCGCAGCATTTGCACCTCCACAGCGTGACGCCTCACTTTGGTGTTGGCACCGCTCTTCAACATGTGTGTTTTTTATTTAGTAGAACGAAACTTGGCTGGCAATTGTGCGTCGGATTGTGCAGCGGAGAGCCGATGGCGATCAGGCACAGAGCGCATAACAGCAGAGTAAGCAGCGGATGCGATCCGACATCGCAGCAGTCATTGGTTCCGAGTCAAGCCGGGTCCCAGGCCTCATGGAGTGGTGGTCGTGCGTTCAACAGAAATCCTCCGACGCACACCGACTTGAGAATTGGTGGAATGCCCCTCGCCTCACGAGTTCATCAGGTTATTATCCTGCAAAGTGCCCATAGGTATGTGTCAACAGACGAGACGAATCTGAAGCACTTATCCACATCACCCCATTTACACATGGCTGCTTCTACACCGAGATATATTGAGATGCGGGGAAGCTCTGGTGGTGGGACCAGTTGGAGCTGTTGGACCTGGGCTAGGCCGCGATAGGCTTAGCTACCCGTCGTGGACAGGCCCATGCTTCTTGTCGAGCATCTTTGTGCGTGGTGGGTGAACTGCACTGTAACTAAGTTACTCTGCCATTTGGTGCCGATGCCCCCTTTGCCTCACCAGTCCCTTCGGTGGCTTTCTGAATGCGTGTTACCCTGACTGTCACGCCATGCCCAAAGTTGTTAGCAATTGACACGGTACTGACCGCCTTGCCGCTCCCAACGGCCTCGTATCGCATACATATTAAGCCCAAAGCCACGCTACGCTGCCCTAGTTTCCAAACTCTCTCGTCCTCCTTCACTTGCACCCGTGACGCGCCAACCATCTCAAGCTGACCTCAGAGTGGCTGGCTCTAAACATTCCACTCTACCTTATCGCTGTCCCCCCTTGACTACTAATTTGTCCTCTTTCTCTCCAACGTCTCGTTCCCACCACTACTTCTCCATCTCTGTCCCTCACTTCCTACCCTAATCAGTCAATCATGCAAGCCTCACGAGCCTCGTCTCGCGCCTTCAAGGCCATTGCTGCCGGCAGCAAGCAATCTCGCAGTCTTCATATGACTGGCCCGGCGACTTTCTCCTCTCTTCTGACCTCGGAGCGACCGGCAATGAACCTCCCTCGCGATCTTGCTGGACTTCGTTCGGAATGCTCGAGACGCAAGCTACCCACCACCGGCTCCAAGGATGAGGTGAGTGGCCATCAATAGTCCGTCTTTCATAACTAGAAGCTCATGTCTATCGAAACCAGCTCGTTTCTCGTCTGTCCGCACACGAACTTGCCAGCACTCGCTCCTTCAGCAGTGCCATCGACAACTCAAAACGACCTGTCCCCGCTGTCAATGAAGCCGGGAAGCCAGTCCGTCACTTCAACACAAGCCGCAGCCTCAAGGCTGTAGGCGACAGCTCGACGATCGACTTCGCCTTTATTCCGGATTTCGATCCTGACACGCAGAGCGCTCCAGTGGACATCCGGGTCCCCATCCTCCCGCAGACCACCATTCCCTTTGAAGCTGTTCCGGAAGAGGCCGAGGAAGAGGTATGAATTTATATCATCAAAATGACAAAATCGTGAACTAACACAATGTCGTAGGTTATGCTACCCACAATTTACACCGTCGCCGCCGACGGCACCCATATCCACGCCCCGGCCGCCATGTCCGAGATGGTGGACTCAAATCAAACCGACTTCCAGGGTTTGGCATCTAACGTTGCGAATAAGATCTCCAAAGATGTTGAAGAGGGCGCCGGTATGGCCCGGCAGATCTGGACTGGTCTGGTGGATGACATCTTTGGCCCCAAAGGCCCTGCCAAAGCCTAATATATAGAGCTAGTATATCATGCTAGTGATGGTGGTCGGCGTACCACCCGGTTTCAAAAGGGGCACATACAGGGGCATTCATGTTAACGAGCGACTGCGTACGGTCTTTGTAATTCATCATTTTTCAATTCTATGGACGGGCTCTAGTATGCGGCGGCGAGCTTGAAGTGCTCAAGCTCACGAGTCACGAATACATCATTTCATAATCGACGATCCGATCTGTCCACCTACGTGCCCAAGATTGTCTTTCTCAACCAATTGCTCTTCCAAATAGACCAAAGTCTAATACAACCAGACTTGATTCGCGGAGCTAGCAAGGGGGTAACTTCCTCGGAACCTCGAAATTCTTTAGACAAACGAACGGCGCATGGCATGATATCTTTGTTCAATGTTTGTCGGGATATCCTTCGCAGTTCCATCATACAATCTAGAGCGCGAGAATCGCAAATTCCCGATTACGAGTTTCCCCGTATCGGCGACTTACCCGACGTCCGAAAGAAAAGAAAAAACTAAAAAAAAAAACTCGCCGAGGCCCTTTTTTGATTCCAGTACTTACGTGACGAGAAACTTTCCCTAAATGCTGTACTGTCAGACGCTTTTGTCATAGATTCAGCGGGACGTTGGCGCGTGTTTGCGCAATCCACGACGTTGTGTTGAAGATAAGCGGGAATTACCTCTTTGGGCAGATGGGAATGAATAACGGTAATTCCCTTTTTGGCTTCTTCCGTGACGGACGCCAGTGCGGGCTTGGTATAAAGCCATGCTTCGGTTTTCAGGTCTCTTGAGTTTTGTTCCCCCCCGTGGAATCACTTGCTTGTGCAGTCCGGAGGCTATGTCACTGCTACGTATCTTTTTCCTTAGTGGCGAGGGTAGCGACTATCCGTAATGAGTCACAGCTTACTGATGATGCATTGAGTTTAATCAAGTCTTTCGTGATGAAATAGGTCCAAGTAACGTTAGGAAGTGTTATGAAGGAGATAAACAGGCTTACGTGAATTATAGGGTATGGATAGCTGATTCTTGATTCGTCTACGAACGGCGCAACCTATGCAGAACATCTCCCCTCTATCGTTACCTTCTGTTGGTTATGAGCTCTGACACGTGATGGTTGTATGGTTGATCGATTGTTGATTGATTGTTGTTTGCCTTCTTCTTCTTCTTCTTCTTCTTCTTCTTCTTCTTCTTCTTCTTCTTCTTCTTCTTCTTCTTCTTGGCAGGATAGCAGGGTGTATATATACACGCTCTGCCACTCATATAGGTTAATAGCTATAAGTCAGTTCTTCTGTTTCCGCCATCAACCTACACATACGCCTTATTACGCATAGCACTGCTCTTCAAGCTGCTCGATAATAACCCGGGCTTCTTTAATGGATTATCGTCCGTAGGTTACTTGCGTCGGAGAATCGAGTCTTATTCTCCCCAGACTCCCCACTCCGATGCAATTGTTATGAACAAGTCCACCACCTTGCCCAAATCTTCTACACAAGATGATCAGGCAATATCATGTGCCCTCCCTTGGCCATGGGCATTTCTAGTGTCACGCGACCTTTACCAATACCGTCAATCACCTGGTTGTCTGTTGCGATGAACTTCATGATCAAGATATTCTGATCTTATCTCTCATCGTTTTCAAGTACTTCGTTTCGACTAGGAAACGAATGCTTCTTTTTGCCGCAATCAGCTATTGCGTTAGACTTTTAAGGGTTACTATTCATTGAAGATCAATCTTTATCGTCTTTACACTGGTTCTTCGCATGTGAGTGTCGATACGGCTCTTCACTAAAGGTTGAACTATGTTGTTGGTTGAGAGCTAACGAAAACACGGATGTAGTGCACAATAATCATTTATGGGAAGATATGACATGAGTTTTTATTTCCGATTCAAAAAAATTAGATTCCGAGAGTTGCTTTATCGATGTTAACATTAAGGAAGCTGTGTATACTGATACCGCCCGCGGTGAGCGGACATGTTTTCTTCTCTACGCTCGTAGCGGTGGGAGCTTCGGGTTTTAGCCAAGCAGTAGAGTTGACCAAGGCTCTCTGTGTCTTGCTTGGTGTTTTTTCTTTTGCAACAAACAATATCCTGGAAGGCAGAAGTTGTAAAAGTAATCTGCTCATCG